AAACTTTTCTTTGACCTTTGCTGCTTTGATTACAAATTCCTCCTTAAACTTTCCTCCACCCACTCCATCCTGCCTGGACTCTCTTCTTCACCTCTTTACCACACTCCCATTTTCCTGTGGACCCCAAGTACTTGAAGTCCTGCACCTTTGTGACCTCTGCTCCTTGTAGCCTCACTGTTCCACCGGCCTCCCTCTCATTCACACACTTGTACTCTGTCTTACTACCAGTGGTGTAGTTTATGTGATATGCGAGCATACGGAGTATACCCACTGGAAAAGCTTGGGAATTCCAGTATACCCACTTAAAAGTCCCCAATGACACGAGCCCATATCGTTCGTGTCATTGTCAACACATTTGGAACATTTTATAGACACATTGAGTCGGTTCAACCTGTTTTTTTTTTTTGTATATTTAATACTTCTGTATTTACTTAATACTTAAACATGTTTTGCTTTGATACCGTTTTTATAAATTCTATAACATGTTTTTAATACAAAATCAACTGTTGTACAAAGTTTGTTGAACATTTATTCAAATAAAAGAAATGAAATGTTCAATATACTTAAAAGTCAAAATTCATTCTACCTTCATTTATTTATAAAATAAATTAAGGATTACATTGTACTAACTGGTGTACTTTGGTTTCTAGGCACAGTATACCCACTAGATAAATGTAGACTACACCACTGCTTACTACGGCTGACTTTCATTCCTCTTCTTTCAAGTGCATACCTCCACCTCTCCAAGTTCTCTTCCACCTGCTCCCTGTTCTCACCACAGATCATGACCTCATCTGTTAGTCGGCTGATCCTTGACACAAAGCACATCTATTAACATTATTGCTGCTAAACTTTAGAGTTCTTGCAAATCTTCATGTCATATTTTGCTCTCCTCTCTAAAAGGAGTGAAAATGGTAGTTCAGATCTTTCAAAGTAAGGCTCTGTGGAAAAATGCAGAACAAATAATATCTTACCTGCGGCAGATAGCTCTTTGAACAGCCTCAGGTTGAAGAAACAAAGTTGAATTCTGACTGAACTTGTGCGCTATAAGGAAATATAAGAATGTTTCTGCCAGAATAACTTGGTAATGTGAAACAACTAGCAATAAAAAAACATCATAAAACTTCTGAAGTGTTGTATGTTTTTGATGATTTGAAAATGCATTTCTTCTTTATTAAAATAAAGTTGAACACTTTGAGTACTTGCATTGTGTGCACCCTCTTCTGAAATGCTTTAAAGACTGCTGCGTGTCCTGCGAGCACTGTTCAGTTAGTTTATACACCTGGTTTCACGTCTGCCATGTTGCGTACCATCACAAAACAGCAAATGTCCTTTAGCAGAACAAAGGCACCGAAATAGACGTCGCAACATGTACTGTATATAAATAGACCTCTGGGTTATTATATTACTGACCTGCAGCTCATGGAAACGAACAAGACTAACAAAGTTCTCTTTGTTTTGATTGCTAATCTTAAAAAAAAAAAAAAAAAAAGGAAACTGATTTTTATCACAACACATTTTATGGAATTTCTAAATTTAAATGTTTTTACAAACGTTATTTTTTATTAAACTTGGAACATTTTCCTTTTATAACTCCATATTATGACACAAACAAACAAATAGACAAGATGTTTTGAGAAAGTGAACATTTTGGACAAAACTTTTTAGTTGCCAGATGAAATAACTAAAAACTGATTCTTAAATAAACTGTACAAGGAGCTTCATGAGAACATCTCGTGTTTTCTTATAAGCGTTGGTTGAATAATGCGGTAATGTTGTTCATATATTTGTACTTTACTGCAAAGAACTTGTTCAAAAACTAATAGGAGTACTCAGATATACCAGAAGACTTTATTAAAATATAGTATTTACAATATTCAATTATTTAGAACTTTTTTCATATAATTATCACTTTTAAACAGCATACACTGTAAAGATGTCACTGTTGGAGTTTTACCACTAGAGGTCAGGCTGGTTTAAATCTATGTAGGCACTGAAGTTTTTGGAACCTCGTGCACTTTTTTCAAATTTATATATAATTTTTCATAGCAACATGTTTCCATATTCAGTCTTTAATGAACTGATCCTAATTCACGACACAAATAAACCTCGATAACATCACAGGGTTGTGCTGCTCAGTCAATCTTGAGTGATTTTAAACTATGGTACTAATAAACTAAAAAAAAAAAAAAAAAAATACAAATCTGTGATCTGATTCAATAAATCAGAAGTTTGAGAGTTTAGGTTACGTGCAGCAGCTGTCTGCTCCGTCACACACAGCTAACCTTAAGGGTTGCCCTGCATGACCAGTGCACATACTGGAGTGTTCAGAACCAGTGAAACATGAAGTCATACGGGGCCTAAAGGCAGGAGGGCCTCTCAGCACTGCTGCCATGTGATACAGAAGAGCGCCGAGGTCTCACATGACAGTCACCAGGAAAATGATCAGCCTTAAGAGCTTTCTCCTGGACTCCTACATGTGCAATCAGTTAGAGCCGTCCTCAAGTTCTCCAAGTGATTGCAAACTCATTAAGAACTAGAAAGCCTTTTGTTAGCAGTGATTGCCAAAGAGAAATAACGAGTAAACAAGACATCCAGCGTGGAATACCGTATTATTCGGACTATAAGGCGCATTTAAAATCCTTTAATTTTCTCAAAAATCGACAGTGAGCCTTATATGTGAATTCTGGTTGGGTTTACGGACCTCGAATTGATTTTATGTGGTACACGGCGCTGTTACATATATCCTCGGATGATGCACGTGTTAAAGGGAAAACAGGAAATCAGTCTACTTCTGCTTCCACCTGAAGCCATTTGCCGTATTGAGGGTTTTGTTTATCTGCTGCATGCACACAAGGGCAGTTGCACACAAACAGCCAATAATGCGTAGATTGAACCAAATAAGCTTTATTAAAACACGTTTCATTACTGATCCAATGAGGTTGCAGTCACGTCCACTTTAAGGGGAGGAGTCTAGAGTCGAAGGAAGCCGCGTGTCCGCGCGGAGTTCGGCACTTCTGTTTCCGAAACGCGGCGTGTTGGGACGAAGTCCAGCGCTGAAATAATTCTGTAACTTTTATCTGCCTTAATAGAAATTAAATGTTAAAACTTTATTCTTTGTCGTTATTCGTGTCTGCGCGAGTCCTCTCTCCGACAGCGCTCAAAAATGCGCCTTATAATCCGGTGCGCCTTAGCGTCCGAAAAATACGGTACTCGTTGCCTGTTGGAGATCAGTTCATCTTCCGAGGAAAACAAAAGCAGAATCAAATAGCAGATCACAATTTTATTTACTGAATAAATTTGGACAAAACACCAGAATCTGTTACAATACAATCAGAACATCTGAGGCAGATATCCCACCATGCATCATCACCCCGCCCCCCTTTCTCGAAGGAACAACAAAAAAGGGACTAAATCAGCACCGACTTAAATAAAAAGGTAGCTCACTCTACAAAACAATGAAAACAGTTGCTTTTAGTAAAGTGAAAAGCAACTCGGAAAAGAAGCAAATCAAGTTTTTTATTCTTTTTGTAGCTTAAAAAGGAAATTAAAGAATAAAAAGAAGTGTCCTCCGACCCCCACAACCCCACCCTTTTCCTCACTAGGCAGGCTATAGCATTCATGGAGCACATGCCAACGACTGGGTAAAAAAAAAAAAAAGGAAAAAACTTTACGTTAACATTGAGATACGACAAAACGCACCCAAACGGTGCCCATTTCAAGTGCTGGTTTCACAGAACCTACACAGGCGGTAGAGTCACGGAGAAACCATCTCATAGCAAGACTACCACTGAACATCTCGTATCAGCTTTGTAAAGAAGTGAGGGCGATCGGGTGGGCAGGGGGACGCAGGAATACTGGCATAGATGAGTTTTCCAAAACTTCGGACAGACGTTTTCTCTTCGCCGCCTGTCCTGTGTCGATATTGCCTACATGACGTGAGGGGGAGGAGGAATCTCTCGGTAAAGAAATACCCTGCTATGTAGCTTTAAATATATATTTATATTTATTTATAGATATTTATATCTGTTACAATTTAAATAAACCATACGTTCTTCGTTCCTACAACTGAAAGGTGAGTTTAAATAACGGAAGCTAGTGGCGGAGGCGGCGCTGTCCGTTCGCCTAACACACCAAGTGCTCGATGATGCGTTGGGGTGGCTACAAAGAGAAATGGAAGATGTTAAAGCAGCAGGAAAAGATTAGAGAAAAAAAAAAAACAGCTCAATGGCTTAAAGTCACAAAATGAAACGCTTAAGAGACAAAATGGAGGCAGAGTTGGTAACTGGGGCCACCAAGGAGTCTAGTGACCGCCAGAATATTCTGTAACGCAAAACAGAGCAACATGAAGCTAAACCGTTAAAAGGTGAGGGGTCAAACATTTGCTTTACGAGGATGACGACGAAAAAAAAGCCTCAAGATCTCCGATCGCTAACAAATGGTCCCGGGTCAGGCGTCATTGCCTCGTGTTTCCGTTTAGAATCCGAGACCTTCCGTTTCCGACTCTGGGTCTGTGGTTTCAAGTTATGACCAGCCACAGCTATAGGACAAGGAAAAGTGACATCTCTACAAAACGCTGTGGTGCGACAGTTCGTCAGGCCGGAACGGTCTTCCTCCTGTCCAAACGTCCCTTCATGCTTTCAATAGTGTCAACAAAAAAAAAAAGTGTCAGCTTCGATGAGCACCACGTTAAATCAAACACATCCAAAAATAATAATAATAATAATATTAATAATAAAAAATGGATTTGCTACATCGTTTGCAACTTGCATGTCTGGCAACGTCGTCCTGGACGGAGGCGCGCTCTGCCAGAGGATGTATAGATGCCATTTGTCATGCCAGGCTCAGGGTTTTCCATGAAATGGTGGAAAAAGGAAAACGGGATGAAAACACCTTTATTACAAGTGACAAATTCACCTATTTATTTCTAATCTACTGGTTTTTGGCTCTGCTGAGACCGTGGCGAGCAGACCGTGGCAAAGTCATTTGCTTGTGCTTTGTTTTTTTTTTATTTTATTTCTTTTATTTTTCGTATTTCTTTGCTCAGCTCAAGAAATGCTCGAGCTCCTCTTCCATGTTCACCTCAGGCACCAACTGCTCCTGCTCCCTTTCCCCTCTCCCGTGCACCTGAGATCCCCCCAGCCCCCCGGAGGAGGTGAACCAGGGGTGCTCCAGAATCTCCCGGGAGGTGAGGCGCTCCGCGGGCTCCCGACGCAATATGGAACGGATCAAGCACTTGGCCTTCGGCGTCAGCGTCTCGGGGACGTTGAAGTGGCCCCTGCGGATTTTGCTGAACAGCGACCCCGGCTCAACGTCGTGGAAAGGGTAGCGCCCCACGAGGATGGTGTAGAGCATGACGCCCAGGCTCCACACGTCAGCTGCCTTGCCCGAATAGCTGCCGTTGGCGTTGAGGATCTCGGGACTAACGTAGGCCGGGCAACCATGTTTGTCCGAGAGGGAATCATCATGACCAGCAAGGATATACGAGTCCTCAAGGCTCTCCAGCTTCACGAAGCTTCTGCAAAACGAGAAGGAGATGGAAACACAATGAATCCTTTGAGAAAATAAAAGACACGCAGACTTGTTCGTCATTAATTCAACACACTGCACAAAAAATGGTTAAAGCAGAAAAAACACATGACCAAAAAATTAAAATAAAAAAAAACGTTCCCTTGAGGAAGAAGCACATTCCTCCTCTGTGAGACTTAGAGCCATGTGCATTTTAAACACAGCACAGCATACAACCAGAGGCAGGCAGTAAAGTCTATTTTTTGATGCATTGCAGACACGGAAAATTCTGAATCAATTTTTAAATGTCAAGAATGGATCTTGTTAACGTTAATCCGCGCTGCCGTTTGAAGAGTCCGCAGAGCAGTTGTATTGTTTGCCCTAGTAGAGTCACCGTAGCTTCATGTAGTAGCAACATGTTGCAGTAAAGCTGTCGTCACATCTTTACTTCACATTTTCTTCACATTCTTGTGCAGAACAAATGCCTCAAAATCATAGTGGAAAATATCTTAACTTGATTATCTTTAGCACTGACTTCGAAACAGTTCATTTGTGCATACATTTCTGGTGATAAATATTATGCTAATTGGGTTAGCTTTTCTAAAAAGTTTTCAGTGTTAAGTTAGCATCTATGCTAATGGATAGTAGCAGCCTGTGACTAATAGATTTTATTTTGCTACACATATTATGTGCACTCTTTCTTGTACATTAAACCAGTGGTTCCCAACACTGGTCCTTGAGGAACACCATCCTGCATCTTTTAGTTGTTTCCCTGCTTTGACACACCTGATTTGAATCAATGGGTGACTAACAGGCTTCCGTAGCACTTGATGACGTAATTAAATCACTGAATCAGGTGTGTTGGAGCAAGAAACCAACTAAAACATGAAGGATGGTGTTCCTCAAGGACCAGTGTTGGGAACCTTTGAATTTAACCATATAGTGTTTATTCATAGTCATTTAGGATTCAAGATCATTAAAAGCCTCCATAATTGTTTTTTAACCCCATCGCAGCTCTCTGAATCATTGATACAAAAGATTGCCACACCTACATAATACTGCCTTGCTCATTGTCAGGTGGGACAAACCAACTACGATTAAAAAGACCTAAATGTCAATGCAAGGACTGAACCCAATTTCAGTGCAGAACTTATCTGAGCTGAATCTGAGCGCACTGTTGGATAAGAGCGAGATCAACGGGACCAGTGTCTTTGAAAAGTCTGCTGATTGCTTAAAGGCTTACAGCTGCATGACAAAAATCAGGTCAAGAAGCTAAATCAAGCCCACTCAAGTATCATCTTATGGCTGCTTTTATTCATGTTACTTCTTTAGAAACTCGCTGTAGCTTTTTGTCATTGACTTTATGGCGTTAAGCCACATCCGAAGCCCCAGCAGCTTTGTTTAATCCCTGTACAGTTGTGTCCACTAATTCAGACAGGCAGAAAAAAAACTGAAACATGCAAGAGGAGTCCCGACAGGCCATGTGGTGAACGTGACCCCGCTCTGGCCTGCGCCATCCACTCGTAAAAATTGCCCGACATCAATCATTTAGGAGAAGGTGTGCGCCTCAGCGCCAGAGCTTTGAAGGTTACTGGACCTTTGCTAAATATGTGAGGCAGCTCAACTTCTTTTTTTCCACAGTACGTGCCAAAGAATGATGCCATACTCTCAGAAGGGTGTACTGTGCCCCTCTGCCAACAAGGCAGCTAATCTAAGACGCTATTCTGATAGAATTCACATATGGCTTTAAAACGATGAAAACATTCTGTGTATGGACTGACACTTAAAATATGTGGAACACAAGCTGCTGAAGACACCATGTTTGTAGTAATTAACAGCTGCCACCAGGGGTCAGAAACTGTATTGTGGAAGCTAACAATGGTTCAGAAGCTCAGCTTGACTCATCATAAGCCTGGCAATAGCTTGTCCTGGAAACTTATGTGAGCAAGCTGTTCAGTTCCACAGCAGTGCTGGTCTCAGGTTAGGGTAATGATTATACCCACATGTAATTTCATCTAGATATAAGCAGTGTGTGTGATATCCCCTCTAATAAACCGCATGCACAAAAGCAACTGGGGCAGAAACATTCGGAAGAGGCATGTCCGTCACTCCTATTTTGTCTCAGCTTACACCGTCGTCTATGTAACCAGCACACAGACAGAGTTACCAAGTCACTGTACAAAATGTACAGATGCGAGAACATAGAAAGAAAAAAAAAAAGCCACGGGGCAAAGAAGCTGGTGACCGAGGTGAAAATGTTTCCACGAAACTTACCTGTCCTCATTCTTGAAGACAAACTTCCTCAGTTTGAGGTCACGGAGGACCAGCCCATTGTCGTGGCAATGCGCCACAGCCGAGGCTATCTGGTAGAAGAGCCTCGCGGCTTCGTCCTCGCGCAGCTTCTTGCAGGTGCGGACGAAAGAGTGCATGTCGCCATAGCTCCGGTCGAAGAACACGTAGGCCCGCGTCTCTCCGAGCAAGATCTCCAGGATCTGGTTGATGTGCTGATGCTGGCCCAAGGCGAAGTAGGCCGCCAGTGACTCCTGGTAGCGGCCAATGTCGAAAACCTGCAGGCAAAGTTTTTTAATTAGGACTTGGTGTTCTGGAAATCTTGCCTGTTACAGAAGAATGGGCTGTTCTGGTCGATGGAGGTCTCAAATGCTAGCGTTCCTGAGAAGACAAAAGGTCAGATCTGCCTCGCACAAACACTAAACTTGACTTTAATCCCTCCGTAGAGGAAGTAAATCTAAAACAGAGGCATACTGAAAGATAGCGTCATAATACTGCATGGCATTGTGCTGCAGCCTAGGGTTGCGGTGCCTCTTTTGTTTCCATAGCAACACCTCCCCCCCTCCACCCCAATTGACTTTCAGTACATCCAGTTCAGGTGAGAAGGCTCCGTCTGCTTGCAGTCAATACAAATACACCCCACAGGTCTGGGGGATCCTGAGCTGCGACCCGAACTGCCAGCCCTGACAGTAAAAATGATCAATCCTGGAAGTGGGGGAGAGCAGGGGGGAGGGGGGGGTGATTGATCAATGCTGTATGGAGGGTCAACACAAAGCAGATGGGGTCAAACAGCAGTTAGCTCACAGGCAGAGCCAGAGGCCGTGCATTTGTCACGGCAACGGCAAAACATTATCTCAAGTCAGAAGGTGCAGGTTCACCGGATGTGTCACGCTTTTATGAGTCCAAGGGTGCACGCAACTACCGTTCAATCGATGCGTCCGCACGAACTGGGTGAAAAGCCCCAGAGGGACCTGCTGCTCTCATAATCAGGGATTAAGAAAAGTCAATATAGTTATAAAAGCAGCAGCGAGGTTGTTCTCAAGGTTAAAAAAAAAAAGGGGGGGGGGGGGGATTCCCTTGCACGATTTGCCACTTTGATTTTTTTTAAACCTCAAACCCAAGAAGGGTTTGGGTCCAAAATGTGCAGCACATGACTACACGCATAAACAAAACAATAAAGGAGAGGGAGACACTGATCCTAGCCTGCACCGAGAGGCAGATTCAGCAGTGCACGGAGTGTGTGCGTGGTTACTCACTCCTTTGTCAACGTTACATCATGCACAGCTCACCCCCCCATTCACTTTTTCCATTAGGCGGCTCTGCCAGCTCTCTATTTACAATCCAAGCACTTATTAAAACGTTGAGGTGGCGGGATGTGCTGCAAAAAAACCTCAACCTACGCTGCACTGAAACAAAGATTTGAGAGTTTTAAATAAATAAATGAATAAATAAAGCAGGTTATTTTGGGAACATGATGAGTGTTGCTCACCTTGCAGACGAGCTCGTCCCCGCTGTGCAGGTGGGCGGCTCGGAAAACGTGGTCCCCCTCCAGGGGCTCCAACAAAAGGTAGTCCCCGATGCGGGAGATGCAGTGCGAGGAGTCGGGGGTCTCCGGGGGGCTGGGGGAGCCGAGGTTGGGGCTGAAGCTGTGGTTCGACTCTGTAGTCCTGAAGCAAGACAGCTCGTCGAAGTCGTGCGATTTGTGCCGCGATCTCCCATAACGTGAAATGCTGATAGGATTTGACCTCTGTATGTTCATGGGGAATAAGAAGTGTGGGATCTCCGCGGAAAAAAATAATAATAAAAAAAAAAAAAAAAAAAAGCCTCAAGTCTTTTTGTTCTCTCTTGTCGGGAGCACCAACCTGCTGTTGGAGGATGCAGCTAGCTGTGTCAACAGGCGAGTTCTCGTTCAGCACAAAGGCTTCGGTTCCCCCCCGTTCATTGGCCCTCCTCGTTTCTTTTAAACATTCGGTAAAATAACGAGCAGAGCTGGTCCGAGTCCACTGGTTCACCGAGCCGAGGTAGAAGGGAGAGGGGGCGACACAAAAAGCTGCAACAAAGGCTACCAAAAGTTAGCTTGTGTGGAAATGAATGGAGTCGACCCCGCTAGCTTATCTTACCGGTGAATGGTCCGACACGTTTCGTAAAACGGAAACAATACGTTGGACGCAGTTCGCAGGCACGAGGAGAGCAAACTAAATGTGCAAGCTTAACAAATACGTCAAGTTTTCAGAGCTAGGTTCAGCGCACGGCCTTGTTCCCCGGGATTACATCCATGCACGGTGATGAGAAAGCCCCATCCGGAAAGACTTGCTGCTGCGGAGGCTCTTTGTGTGCGCGAGTCGTCTGCTCTTTTTTTTTTGTCCAATGGAAGAAAAAAAAAAGTGCGGTTTGTCTGCTGCTGAAAGCTTATGGAAGGAAGAAAGAAAGAAAGGAAGGAAGGGACGGCCGGCCGACTTTCCCAGGCCAATCCCTTGATTCAGCAGGACATCCTCTCTCCCGTAGTACCGCTGTGCTTCTTACGTGGCCGGGTCTAGTCCATGAGAGCTGCGCTGCACACTGCGCCTGTTCACACAACTGCCTTCCTGCCGGACGGCCAGGGGGCGGGGCTAATACAGTGTATGTCAAGCCGGTGTGGCATATAATTAAACCACTTGCTCATCCTCTCAGCCAACTTCCTTTAACAGTCAGATTAAAAATTAGACATATCACAAATACAGTTCGTAACAAAATACTAAAATGGACTGCTCAACTATAGGAAAACAATACGTTTCCACACAGAAATATGGTAATTTAATATTTTTGAGGAGATGTTCTGTCAGTTGGTTATCAGTTAATACCTTATCAGCTTTGATTTTACCCTTGGAGAACAGTGATGACGAAAGAGGAAAAGGTTCACCTGAGAGTCAGGTTAATGGCTAACCAAACTGGTTCTTCTTTTATGCAGTATACACATTTACATGACATGTTTGTTTGGCTTCTGCTCATGAACGTAGGTGTTGCTGAATTTATCAATCCACTGATCATCACATTTACACCATTGAGCAATACATGATACATACATGTATATAGCTGAGATGGTGTAAGGGCAGGGCAGCTGACTCCGATCCCAAAGGTGCTGGCTACGATCCCCGGTCGTTGCACAGCTTGTGGTGTCTGAGCAGGACACCTTATCCCCAGTTGCTCCCTGAGCACCTTCCATAGATGCCCACCGCTCCACCTGAAAGCAGAAAGCCAATTTCACCATTGTATGGGAACATATAATGGTGACAATACATAACACATTATTATTATTATCACCTCTGGTGCAACTACAGTAAAGCTATGACGAAGAAACTGCAAATAGCCTATCAGGATGCATTTAGAATCCTCCTCAGCTTCCAAAATGGACGTCTTCAGGTCAGATGTTTGTCATGAGCAACATTCCAACTTTTCATGCCTTGCTGAGGAACTTCATGTATAAATTTATGTGCCGCTTGGATGTATCAAACAACTTAAGAGCTTTGTCAAATGCAACATATAGTGATACTAGATATACCTCAAGCTTTTTAAATATTGGAATAACTGTTTGTCTGCTTTGTGATGGATGTGTTTGTCTTTTTTAC